ACCAGAGACGTTTGTCCCGTTCGCAACATCTTTACAGCCGGCTGCCCCCAAGAGCTCTGGTATCGAGTGGTATGGCCCGAACCGCGCTAAGTGGCTCGGTAGGTTATCCTGGAGATCCGAGGAGATCCGATATGCAGCGGGTGTAGCGCGTATCGGAGGGCCGGAATAATCGGTCGGTCTCGTGCATGGTCCTCCTTTCGGCGCAACATGCCGCAGCGTCAGGTTTCTGTGCGCAGGCTGCTCTCTCGGTCCTTTGCTGACATCGCGCGATGCATGCTGCGATGAAGGGCACAGGTTGCGTCTTTCCCCCTTTCGCGACCTGCCGTTCAGTAGCCCGCTGCCGCCGTATGTCCGCTTTCCCCTTCTGTGCCCACATCGGACAGGCCCCTACAGCGAGAATGCCACCCCTGCCTACCTGACTGGCGAGTTCCCCGGTGACTACGGCTGGGACACTGCCGGCCTGTCCGCTGACCCGGAGACGTTCAAGCGCTACCGCGAGCTGGAGCTGATCCATGCGCGCTGGGCCATGCTTGGCGCTCTGGGCTGCCTGACCCCCGAGCTGCTGTCCAAGAACGGCGTGCAGTTCGGTGAGGCTGTGTGGTTCAAGGCCGGCGCTCAGATCTTCCAGGAGGGCGGCCTGGACTACCTGGGCAACCCGTCGCTGGTGCACGCTCAGAACATCGTCGCGACGCTGGCGTGTCAGGTGGGCGGGAGGGACGTGGCTGCATGCTTAGGAATGTGTCCGGTCGCCTTACTTGTTAGCTGGCTAGGTGAAACAAGGTGGGGCGCGGCAACTGTGCTGCCAGCCCTTGACTGTCGTAAGCTCCCCTGCCTTTTGCGCGCTCTTACATTCAGCTTGGCTTTGGATTCCTAGTCGCAGCCTTGTGACATGTGAGCATTGTGCGTTATCGCACGCACATCCAGGAATCTGGGTGTCTCGTTTCCTATCCAGCTTGGTTTTATTGCAACGTAACCCCAAGCGAGCAGACGACGCGTTAGATGGCGTGTTGCATATCCGTATTGACTGCTGTCTTCTCCCCCGCTCTCGCTGCTCACGTGCCGCGCAGGTGATCCTGATGGGCCTGGTGGAGGGCTACCGTGTGAACGGCGGCCCGGCCGGCGAGGGCCTGGACCCGCTGTACCCCGGCGAGTCGTTCGACCCCCTGGGCCTGGCTGACGACCCGGACACCTTCGCCGAGCTCAAGGTCAAGGAGATCAAGAACGGCCGCCTGGCCATGTTCTCCATGTTCGGCTTCTTCGTGCAGGCCATTGTGACCGGCAAGGGGCCCATTGAGAACCTGAACGACCATCTGGCCAACCCGGCCGTCAACAACGCCTTCGCCTTCGCCACCAAGTTCACGCCCAGCGCGTAATGTATCGCTGCTACGTTTGCTAGTCGAAGCGGTTGTCCGCATCTGCCGGCCGCTGCTGCCTTCAGCTACGTTACGTTGTTTAGCTATGTGAACGTAGACACAACATACCCAATAAACTGCCAATACCGGTATACGAGACGTCACATGCATAGCAATTGCAGGCAGTAGTTGCCTATCCGTCGCTGTTGGGTAAATACGCTTGGATGCGCAGCTTGCCAAAACTGTTGAGTGATGCGTGGGTGCTTGTCAGTTATTTCCATCGAACCTCGTTGTCGCACTGTGGCCACCTCTGTTTTTAATGTCGTGTTCCTGCGATGAGTTCCCGCGTGGTGAGTGGTGAGCAGCGGCGGAAGCGGTCCTGTTACGGGCCTGAAGTTTTGATGTGGGTGTTTCCCAGTAGGGGTTTCCCACAGCACGGGTGTTGAGGTGGAGCTCTTACTTTTGGGTGGGGTATTGGGCGGTGAGACGTGAGATATCAAGAGCTTCATACAAAGCGCATGCACGTGCTGGGTGCGTTGCGCCAAGCAAGCTCCTGTAACATTTCGGTGTTCATGACATAAGGAAGGTCTCGGTTCCAGTGCTTGTTTCACCGCTTCTTGGGGCGGGAGCACATACAGCCATTTTGGTGGGCGCGTACTGCAAAGGCGGCCACGCAAACAGGCACACATGGAGAACACGCGCGAGACACGAGCTAAAGGAACATGTCATTCAGAGGGATGATTCGAGGTGCATATGGCCACGCTCTATCGCGCGAAAGAAGCCAAGGGTTATCGTGGCTTTCCTGTGTTAGCGAAGTGAGCTAGGCGCTTAATCGCGGGTTGATGGCCTCGGTTGTCGTACAGTGCAAGAGTTAAACTTCAGCAAACCACGTTGGTAGGTCACTCCCCGCCGACATCATCACTGGCGCGGCATAGGTCATCGCCAATCCCTCTAGCGTACAGCGGCCTCGGCCTCCGCGAACCAGGCTCGCTACCTTCCTCACAGCCAGGAACTACGTTGCCACTGGAAGGTACCCCGATGCACCAAGAAGGCTTATTGTGGCGCTCGCCTCGGGCTTATGTGTCCCGTTTCGGATAGCACAGCATCAGCACCACGAAAAACCTGCCGATATGCATAACAAAAAATCACACACACACACCAACACACACACACATACTTACAAACACAAACACACACAAACACAAACCACACACTCACTCTCTTTCTTTTTCTTGTCATGCAGAAACACACAGACGCACACCCACACCCACACACATGCACACACGCGCACACACATGCACACACACACACACACACGCACACACACGCACATACGCACACGCACACGCCACACTTAAGTCGAAGGAAAAAGGCACGAAGTCGGACTGGAGCCTTGTAATGAGTGATGCCGTTACCTGGATTACAGTCCGGTGTAGAACCATGGGACGTGCAATGATATGGAGTCTTAAAAGCTCGGCAACCAGATGGACGCCGCTGCATGCTGGCTACTGCTTTCAGTATCACCCTGGCTGGCAGGCCCCTTTCGATCAGTTTCGCATCCGCAAGGCCAGAGCATGCAGCATCGCCAATGGTTTGACCACCTGCTCCCGTAACTTAAGAACCAAATACCGAATGCCAGTGCCATGGGTCCAGTACTCCCCCAGAAAGGCAGGATGACACACAAATAGGCTACCCGCTGTCCCTTGTCTATCTGGTACTGCCCCGCGACTTTATGCATAAAACTGCTGGTCACAAGAAGTTCTTCTTTGTTCCTTTCACAGTTCAATTGGTAGCCTGAAGCTAAGCATGCGTGGAGTGCTGAACATGTAGCGTGCGTGGTGAAACCCCTGGCAAAAGAGGTAACAAACAGAGGGCGTGCTGGCGTTCCGTTCAGTACTTCAGAGGTCAAAGGCAAGCCATGGGCAAAGTAGGAGCTTTTCCCAGGTGCCAGCCTTAGGCTCCGACGTTTGGAAGCCCGTGGCCGATTGTAAGTTGCGAAGAGCTCATGCGTTTGGTCGAGGCCGACCGTCCTCCCTTGATCGGACGACAGGTTGCTACGCACGTGCTTGTTGCTTTCCTTCGGTCCTAAACGGCCTCCGGTTCGGCGCTGTCGCCCTTTTGCGGTCCAGCAGAGCTTGGACCTTGTGTTCACCGGCCCTGTCCGGGATGGAATGCCCTTTGCCGTCCTAAGCAGCGTGACCCATTATATCAGCTTGCTTCCTAGCAAGGACAACAGCTACTGTCCTCCCGTCCTACGGTACTGGTAATGAGTAAAGGCCGAACAGCTAGGGTCAAACATGGAGAGACCACTTTTGGCGCCTAAAGAATGCATTGCAGTGCGTATCAAAATCCATGTTCAGCGTGCACGTCACAGCATTTATACAGTCGCCACTGAGTTATCCCTGCATCAGAAACTTGTATGAAACTTGCAAGCAGGTGTAGCAAATCGTTCATGCCAATCTGTGCAAGTGCAGATAGCTGTTAAGCGCATGTGTTGCAGGTGTGCCATGTCTGTATCCTGCGATCTCTGTTAGGTAAGCGCCCTGTCCCACGGACAGGACAGGGATACGGCGTGCGTACGGCATCAAGATTTGCTTGCAAAACAAAAGCGCTGGTTGCCTGTGCTTTCAGTATCAGTTCTCTCCTTTGTGCAGCAGAGTCTGATCACCTTACGAACATCTAAAATGGCTTTCGCTCTCGGCACCTCGCGCGAGGCTCTGCAGGTCGCATGCAAGGCGACCGGCAAGAAGGCCGCTGCTAAGGTCCGTTTTATTTCGACACCATTTATTTTATCAGCGTACCTTACATAGACGCACATACGTATTTGCAGTGTCCTCTGGCTAACCAGAGACGTTTGTCCCGTTCGCAACATCTTTACAGCCGGCTGCCCCCAAGAGCTCTGGCATCGAGTGGTATGGCCCGAACCGCGCTAAGTGGCTCGGTAGGTTATCCTGGAGATCCGAGGAGATCCGATATGCAGCGGGTGTAGCGCGTATCGGAGGGCCGGAATAATCGGTCGGTCTCCTGCATGGTCCTCCTTTCGGCGCAACATGCCGCAGCGTCAGGTTTCTGTGCGCAGGCTGCTCTCTCGGTCCTTTGCTGACATCGCGCGATGCATGCTGCGATGAAGGGCACAGGTTGCGTCTTTCCCCCTTTCGCGACCTGCCGTTCAGTAGCCCGCTGCCGCCGTATGTCCGCTTTCCCCTTCTGTGCCCACATCGGACAGGCCCCTACAGCGAGAATGCCACCCCTGCCTACCTGACTGGCGAGTTCCCCGGTGACTACGGCTGGGACACTGCTGGCCTGTCTGCTGACCCGGAGACGTTCAAGCGCTACCGCGAGCTGGAGCTGATCCATGCACGCTGGGCCATGCTTGGCGCTCTGGGCTGCCTGACCCCCGAGCTGCTGTCCAAGAACGGCGTGCAGTTCGGTGAGGCTGTGTGGTTCAAGGCCGGCGCTCAGATCTTCCAGGAGGGCGGCCTGGACTACCTGGGCAACCCGTCGCTGGTGCACGCTCAGAACATCGTCGCGACGCTGGCGTGCCAGGTGGGCGGGAGGGACGTGGCTGCATGCTTAGGAATGTGTCCGGTCGCCTTACTTGTTAGCTGGCTAGGTGAAACAAGGTGGGGCGCGGCAACTGTGCTGCCAGCCCTTGACTGTTGCAAGCTCCCCTGCCTTTTGCGCGCTCTTACATTCAGCTTGGGTTTGGATTCCTAGTCGCAGCCTTGTGACATGTGAGCATTGTGCGCTATCGCACGCACATCCAGGAATCTGGGTGTCTCGTTTCCTATCCAGCTTGGTTTTATTGCAGGCCGTACCCTGGCGTGTTGCTTATCCGTATTGACCGCTGTCTTCTCCCCCGCTCTCGCTGCTCACGTGCCGCGCAGGTGATCCTGATGGGCCTGGTGGAGGGCTACCGTGTGAACGGCGGCCCGGCCGGCGAGGGCCTGGACCCGCTGTACCCCGGCGAGTCGTTCGACCCCCTGGGCCTGGCTGACGACCCGGACACCTTCGCCGAGCTCAAGGTCAAGGAGATCAAGAACGGCCGCCTGGCCATGTTCTCCATGTTCGGCTTCTTCGTGCAGGCCATTGTGACCGGCAAGGGGCCCATTGAGAACCTGAACGACCATCTGGCCAACCCGGCCGTCAACAACGCCTTCGCCTTCGCCACCAAGTTCACGCCCAGCGCGTAATGTATCGCTGCTATGTTTGCTAGTCGAAGCGGTTGTCCGCATCTGCCGGCCGCTGCTGCCTTCAGCTACGTTACGTTGTTTAGCTATGTGAACGTAGACACAGCATAACCAATAAACTGACAATACCGGTATACGAGACGTCACATGCATAGCAATTGCAGGCAGTAGTTGCCTATCCGTCACTGTTGGGTAAATACGCTTGGATGCGCAACTTGCCAAAACTGTTGAGTGATGCGTGGGAGCTTGTCAGTTATGTCCATCGAACCTCGTTGTCGCACTGTGGCCACCTGTGGTTTTTATGTCGTGTTCCTGCGATGAGTTTCCGCATGGTGCCGTGGTGAGTGGTGAGTGGTGAGCAGCGGCGGAAGCGGTCCTGTTACGGGCCTGAAGTTTTGTTGTGGGTGTCAGCCAGCAGGAGTTTCCCACAGCACGGGTGTTGAGGTGGAGCTCTTACTTTTGGGTGGGGTAGTGGGCGGTGAGACGTGAGATGTCAAGAGCTTCATACAAGGCGCATGCACGTGCTGGGTGCGTTGCGCCAAGCAAGCTCCTGTAACATTTCGGGTGTTCATGAAGTAAGGAAGGTGTCGGTTCCAGTGCTTGTTTCACCGCTTCTTGGGGCTGGAGCACATACAGCCAATTTGGTGGGCACGTACTGCAAAGGCGGCCACACAACAGGCACACATGGGGAACACGCGTGAGACATGAGCTAAAGGAACATGTCATCATTCAGAGGGATGATTCGAGGTGCATATGACCACGCTCTGTCGCGCATAAAAAGCCAAGGGTTATCGTGGCTTTCCTGTGTTAGCGAAGTGAGCTCAGGCGCTTCATCGCGGGTTGATGGCCTCGGTTGTCGTACAGTGCAAGAGTTAAACTTCAGCAAAACATGTTGGTAGGTCACTCCTCGACGACATCAGCAGCAGGGTAGTCACGCCTACCTCCCGTTCGGCCCCACGGTCTCGATCCACAATCGCACAACCACCGATAAACTGAATCCCCGATAAGAATCCGAACTTGAATCGATGGGATATGGTGGTTAGCACGTGATGGAACCGGAAGCGTGAAGAGTTGGTGTGGGACCAGGGGACCCCCCGGCAGGGTAGTCACGCCTACCTCCCGTTCAGCCCAATGGTCTCGATCCACAATCGCCGATTAGTTATTTCTCCGATTGATTTGGAACCAGAATCGCCCAGATTTGGTGGGGATGCATGTATGCGTGCCACCTGTAACCCGCCTGGAGGGGCCATCAGCACACCAGCGCACTCGATAATCTCGATAAAACTAACCGTGTAACTCGTATCGCATCGCTCACAATCGCTTAAGCCCGATCAGTGAATCGACGCGACCAGAAACAGCTGCATTGGGAATCCGCGCGACTTTGGCCGGACAGCGACCCTGCGACTTCCCGCCGACTGCAGCTTTTCTTCGCTTCGGTCGATATCAAATACTATCAAAGTCCATAAACGCAGAACTTTGGTTAGCGAGGAGTCGCGAGATGTTTCACAGCAGCTAACTTAGGAACCTTCGCACGTGTGCGCCGATTTGCCGAAGCAACCAGTTACGCACACCTCTTTTTCTATGGGTTGGCAACTCACTGGGCGCGCGTAACCCTCAGAAACCCTCAGTAACTGTCAGTTCCGCTCAGTTGGGCTCAGTCCCACTCAGTTCCCCTCAGTTCCTCTCAGTACCGCTCAGTTCCATTCAGTTAGGCTGAGTTTTCTCAGAAGAACTAATAATTCATACAAACAGTATAGCAAGCTTCAGGCAGACTTCTGCATCTTCCACTGGCCTTGTTGGCTCTGAAGGCATCAGGACTCACCTACCATACCTTGCATCTGCTACAATACAATCAAACCTTACTTGGTACTCCAGTGCACCGTCCTTGAACCTACTCTTCTCTAATCGACTAACCTCCACATGCTCCTCACCTTCGTTACTCTCCTTCGTGGGCTCCTTGCGTCCTTGGTCATAATTTGCCCGGCTACTGGCAGCCCCTGGGCAGCCCCGACCCACGACCGGGATCAGGCGCGGTGTGGGCGGAATAGCCCTGAAAACTTAGCGCAAAGCCCTATTCACCGAAGGCAGACCTAAGAAGCGCTGTCAGGAACTGTGCACAGGCCCGCTTGGGGCCAGGATTCTGAAGTGTCAGTTTGGGTTGACAGCGCCTCAGGCACTCCTAGGCTAGGCCTTGGCTCTGCACTTACCACCCTGCACGTCCTCCTCCTGGAACGTGGATGGGCGCCTGCACTGCTGCTGCTGCTCCTGGCGCCAAAACACAGCCGAGCATTCCTGCCGCGCATGAGAAACTGTCACAAGCGGTGCCCCAGGCCGAAGCCACCAGAAGCAAGCCAGCGTGTTACATGCAGCTCCTTGGTCCTGGCCCTCATCCTAGTTCTTTTGCGAAATGTATGTGGTTGCCGGCGAAGAAAGGAGAGCAATTACGTATATGTCAAGTAGTCGACTTGGATAACCCTCGATAGAGCCCAGTGCCCGGCAAGCCTCTGGTGTTCTCTGTTCCCCCGGCATACCTTAGTCAAGGTATTTCTGCTCTGCACCCGGATGAAGACACTCATCGCACGCTTGTCCCTGTCCTTGTTCGCATGGTCCTGCGGGGGCACACTAACCTGCTGTGGTGACCGCGCCTCCCTCAGACGGGACAGCTACGGCACCTGAAGGCAAAGCGAGCATCCGGGGATACAGAGACAAGCAAAGCTTTGCAGGCCTTTATGCAGGCCGAAGTTATCAGAGCACTTAAAGGTGAGGAGCGAGGAGGTGCAAAGTTTCTTGGAGGGCATGGGCTCCTTACTTACCCGGGGCGTCCTGTCCGGCCCGGCCTGGCCCGCATGAGCCTGTCCTCAGCCTCCCTGACCGCAGCCGCATCCTGAAGAAGTCGCATTGGAATCCAAGAGGCTGGGAAAACGAGACCACGCGCTGTCCCCTCGTCCTGCAGCTTGCCTATCATGCTGTTGTTGCTGAACAACTGCGGCCGGCCGTATTGTGCCGATGGTGACTCGAGCCTTTCTGCATTCCATCACATCGACCGCGCCCCTGTTTGCGCACCGACCATGCCATGTCGAGCAAGGAGCTCAGTGACGCCTCTGCTGGCTTACTGAACGATGTGAGGGAGTGAGGGGTGACAAGCTCGGAGTGTGATTCGGCCCCGATCCCGGCCCAGATCCCGGATGACGAATCGTGCAGCAACGAAATCTACGTGCTACTGGTCTTCCATCAGTCAGCTGTCGAGGTGGGCAGTTGTTCTTGGGGGGGGGGGGCAGCTCAGGACGTGTTGTGGTGCTGTGCACACGCCGTGCCTGAGTGCCAGTCCTCCCTCTTCCAAACACGGCAGGATAAGCTTCACGTGCAGGCGTCGGGTCAGCACACTGTGTACATCCGGTCGCCTTGCACAGGCGTTCCAACACTGCGGGGCCGAGCGAGGCCCGTGGTTCGCTTGCGTTCGGCCTGCGAACCTCGCCAGACGCGCGGCTTGCGTAAAAGCAGTAATCTATTAACAGATAGGCAGGCGGCTGGCAGTAATCTATTAACAGATAGGCAGGCGGCTGGCAGAGGTTAAGGCCTGACTTCTGCTCCCAGTCGACCCAGTCGACCCGGGTTCATATCCGCCTGCCGGCTCCTCGGGTATTTGAGGAGTGATGAAATGGGAGGTGGCCCCCCATCATATGGACGGTGTAGGACGTGATAATATCAACTTGCGAGCTGACCAGGAACTAAGTTGATGCGCCGTTGATCCGCTAGATTTGGTTGGATGCTGGTGGTGAGTTGCCGAACCCAACGAATACATTCTGAAGTCGGATGGGGTGACGGATTAGGGTGCCCCTCTAGCAGGGGAGAGCAGGGACTGCCCCGGGAAAGGGGGCCGCTGGCGAAGTTAACCACCCTGTAACAACATACATATAGATTCCATGAGGTGCTGCGCAGCTCACTTCCCACGGCTACCGAGATGTTAACCGATGGCCAGGTAGTACTTTGCGGGTGCTTCTCTGTGTTTTCACGAAGTTGCTCGTCACACTGTACAATCTAATTCAGCATTGCCGAGTCGCGAGCACGTCCCAAACGACTCCATAACTTCCTGCAGTTTCCACTCCAGAATAAAATAGGGGGGTCCTTGTGAAGCAGCTGCCCGCGTTTCTAAAGCCTGTATGTTGTTGGATAGTAAGTTGCAGAATGGGGCCAGGCTGGAGAGGCAAGTGCAGTGGCATAATGGAATGTAGATGAGTAGAAGCTGTTTCCAGGGCGCTTGGCGCACGGCACAATGTACATGCAGTCATGTCGTCACAAGTGCGTATGCAAGAACAACAGGAACAACAACCAGAAGAACAAGAACAGCACCACAGGAACAGCGTGTGCACAGGCCACGTTGCGTCGGTCCTTTGCTATGATGTAGGAACGAAGAATAAGGCCTAGGTTCAAGTTTCCTGTTGCGCGTGGATGGCCATGCCAGAACAGGCAACATGATGGGTGAACTCGCACGCTACCAACTTGCCCCTGAGCACGCGACGAGCGGACATAGAAAAGAGCGCAGCGGGCCCCCCCCTTTCCCCCAACGCTCACGCAATAGACCATCCCAAGCGCTGCTGTCCGTATGGGCCGCAGCCGCCGTTCACACACGAGTTAAGTCCGACATGTATGCACCGTGAACATGTATGCACCGTGAATGAAACCCTAAGTGTGATCGTGCCCAAATACAACAGCACTGCCCAATGTCCAGAAGCCTAGCGCCGAAATCGTGGGACCCTGTCCGTCAAGCGTTAGGTGTCCAGTTGCTGTGTGGGCTAGGCGAGCGTGGCTGGGGTGTCATCGTCTTGGACTGTCACGGCGGTGGGCGTGTGGGCGCTGCCGGCGCGTTGCCGGCTCATCGCGTAGAAGGCCGGGCTGGCGGAAGGCGGCCCGCGCAGCACATTGTAGCCGCCCGGCCCCCGGGCCTTGAACTGCGCGATGTAGAGGGCCTCCATCTTTTGGGCTAGAGCAGGATTGGCGGTGCGCAAAGCGTATGATGGTCGACCCCGCCGGCTAAAGCTACACGTCCCCAACTGAAGATATTCTCGGTGGTTTACCAGCAGGTGTTGTGCTTCCTGCTGTCTGATGTCCTGAACGCTTCCTCTTCCCGCAGCCGTTTCAAGCGCCCAGTCTTGCAAGCTACGTTGTATGCTTTCATATCTTTTCATATCTTATTCAGCTCAGGCTAAGCAGCCAGCCAAAAGTCCGAGATGCATACCGCTTGTGACTGCGGCCAACATGCCCTGACGAGCGGCCTAACGCCGAAAAAATTACATACACTTTTACAGGCGCATTTTGAGAATTGAACGCGCGCATCCGCACGGCAAAATTCGCTCCTGGCTTTTTTGGGACGATGTACGAACTGTTTTTGGGCACAGTACGACCGGACACATTTGTGCGAGAGGCTGCTTAAATAGGGGGGTCCTTGTGACGCAGCTGCCCGCGTTTTCAAAGCACGTATGGTGTTGGATTGTAAGGTGCCCAAGTACGTTTGCGAGGAAGAGAATGTGGCCAGGCTGGAGAGGAAAGTGCAGTGGCATATTGGAATGTGAGATTAGCGTAAGCGAGTTACAGGGCGTTTTATTGCACGGGCGAATTTACGTGCAAATCTTTCACCGTAGCATCAGTCCTCAGTTCACTTCTTGGAACGAACATCAGCATAGGTGCAAGCCCTCTCGCTTGGGGGGATATGCAAACAAACATCCTGATAGGGGTAAACTCG